GATAAAAAAATCATGTCTTCCGAATGTACTATTAAGATTTTATGGAAAAAAAGCTAAAGGTCTTCCGGCCAGACTGATCATCTCCATAGATTCCAAATTTCCTTAAAAGGTCAAGATCTTCAATCTCGAGTTCGAACACATTTAGGATTCGATATATTTGAATGTGAAGTTAAGAAGACAAAGTACTTTTATATCGCCCGTATCGACGAAAAAATCATAAAGGTGGTCTTCTGTTACTGTTGATAGAATATTTTCAATCATAATTGTTTGATTATTCTCATTTTCTTTTTCATTATCATCGGTTTGATCGATCACTAAAATAAACAGGAAAAGTAGCAAAATTAGTTGTAAATTATTCATCGAACTAGCATTTCTTGAGGTTGTAGAATAATTAGAATCCCGTACACAGTGCTTGTGTAGTAATTGCCGGCGGCGATGGTAGTGTTCCTTTTGGTAATGTCGCAGAGACTTGTGCTTGGTCTTTTGTGTTATTTGCTTTTGTTGATGGTACTTTAATGAAAGGAAATATTTTAAAGAAACAACAAGAATAGGTCCGCTCTTTACTTGCCAGAAATATTTGATGCTGATTGTGCTACAATTTGTTGCATCGTATCAACCATGAAATCACAATCTTTCTTGCTGCCTATGTAAAATGTATATGTTCAAATAAACGACTGAAGGTATGAGAAACTCAATGCACCCAAAGAAGAGAACAGATAGATACCAGATGAGTCTTAATACTTAGTCATCAAATAACTTTTAAAAGCCAAAGTGAACTGCTCTAAAAGCTCAACTCTGCTATATTTTCAATGTTCAAGTGCCTTCGTGTATTTCTCTCGAGTTTTAAAATATGAACATATTTAAACGGGTTTCCGGTGAAAGAATAGCACTCCTCGGGACACAGTGGGATTTAAATAGAACAAAAACATGAGTGACTCAGAATTTCAAAACTTCTATTAACCAATAGTGAATCTTACCTTTTAACATTATTTTTCCTTTTTTTTTATTTTCACGATCATTTCCTATTTGAAAATAATACTCATTATATAACGCTGTTGTACCCGTTGTATTTCTCAAATAAGCAGAAGGTATGGTTTCCATTTGCTTGGATTCCGTCCAAGTAACAACGAAATATTGCCCTTCAGTTTGAGCTGAGAGAGAAAAGCAAATATAGATCAATCCACTGATTAGATCACCGAGTGCTTACGTAGAGGGGTTATAGCGATTTTGACATTACGACGTACACGTGGACCCATGGTAAATACCTTATTTAAAATTAAAAAACAATTCTGAAAGAGAAGAAAACATACATTAAGTTTACTAAAACTGAATTGGTAAACGAATCTAAGTGTTAGAATGACCTTTTTTACAGTTTGGAATAACAAGAGAGTACTTGTGTGCCTCTAAAATTTTCTTTTTTTACCAGGAACTAGAGTTTCGATTTAACGTACCGTACCGTTTATCTGAAACTAGGATAATTTTAGTTTAGATCCCTTCTATATTTAATAAAAACATCAGACCCTAGAATGCACTCATAACTAAACATAAAACAAATAAACAAACAATTCCACACTTAAAATCGGCTAGAGAGCAAGCTAATTGCGTCGAACCACGTTATAGTTCTTTTCTTTTAAAGAACATGAAAGTGGCAATCAGCCAAATTTTGACAAAGATTTCGGTTCACAGTACACGTTCAATGACCTTTTCTACTAAAACCACAGAAAAAACAGCTTGTAGTTGTAATAGTATCAAACATACATACTCATCAAATTTATTATCATAGAATATTAGCGGTAGAGACACAGCAACGTTCGCTTACAGATAGCAAATCAAAGTAAAAGATAAGACTCCCACAGGACATTAAAATCTGTGTAAATCGCGCAGCTTTCTGCTGGTTAAAAGCACTGCTTAATTGAGTTAACCTATGATTTCTTTGATATTTTATGCATATTTTAGAAAATAAATCTAAATGAAATACCTTAAACAGACTAGTTATACAAAAATCAGTAGAGTTCGAAACATCCTTATAGCCTTTATTTTGTCAATTGACTGACACTTGCCCGAAACCAATCGAAATTGAGCCAATAATAAGGGGAACTAAGTTTGTAGAACCTTGCTACTGATTAGTAGTTACAAAGTGGACAACTTCGCGCCCTCGTCAAAGTGTTTACTAAAAGATGTTCAGTTTGTAAAAGTTTTCCTTTGTAATATAAAAGTTCGTTGGTACTCGTTACTCTTACTAAGAGGGCGCTCCATGTCTGTCTCATGGTGGTTTTTCTATTTATATATCTGTTTTTTACGTCAGACTGACCTAAAATGACACGTATATGATTCTTCAGATAAAAGCACTATTGGAAAGTGTTAGAAAAGATACGACCTCTCCAAGAAAAACTGATAAACAGATGCAGTTAGCCCTTGCTGTAGGCCACATTTAAAAATCATTAGCTGTATCCTATTTTTTGCGTAAGTGCGTCTTTTGACGCAATATTTTATTCACTGTTTAGAATGCTGAACTGGGCATTCAAGCTTTTGCTATATCAAAACAATGATATGGAGTTAAATATTAAAGATATATCTCGAATAGTAACTGAAATCGGAAGAGTTATTCATCATGTTTACATTAATTTGCAGAACAGATGCCGATAGAACTCCCTTAATGTTGAATTATAAAGTTTTGGTAAATACTGTAAGCCGTTTGTATGGTAAAGAAAAAAAACTGTTAGAGCTCTTTGTATTCGAAGGTTTTTCCCAACTTTAATTAGAATTAGCCTTAGCTGAACTTTCGCCCATTTCGGTCCAATAAACAATGAATTCTGATCCATGTCATCAAAAAGCGGTTAAATACCGCCCGGTTACTGCTCCGGTACCAGTGTGTTACATTCTCTGGTATACCACCAGCAGAATTGAACTTATCGCACCGTCTACTGAACTGCGCCGTATGTACCGGCGGTATCAACCGGTATTTCATCAGTGTGAGCAAACAGTACATGAGTTTGAATCTAGTTCTCAGCTTTATTTTTTTGTTTTTTTGCAGTGCACATGCAGCGCAATGAGGTACCCTAACGGCAAAAACTTGACTCAAGTCCAATTGCAAACTTCTTCGTTGAAGAAAAGAAGGTTCTTTGGCTTTTCCGCGTTTCTTATATAGACTGCCAGCCCAAACAAAAAGCTGAATGTGTCAAAACGGCTCACCGACGGTCTTTTCTTCTACCGCAGTCTGGAAAATATTGTGCGATAACCGTCGGTAGCAGAAAAAACCGTCGCTAAACCGATAGTTATACTGAACGGAACCGTTAACCAGCAGTAATCTATAGACCAATCAGTAACCGGTGGTATCACGAAAAACAGTGCTCTATGGGCAGTCTCTTAATCTACGTTTTCTTAGAAAATCAGATTTGTCTCTTCAAGCTATTTAAAAATATATTCTGATCGACAAAAAACTTCGTATAAGATACTAATTACCTAGGGCTTCCGCTTTCCTACTACTGTCATGAGTGAATTTGGATCAATTGCCAAATTATAGACCAATAAATTAGGTGACAAGCTCCCTACTACTCTCTTAAGTGAATGTGGATGAATTGCCAAATTATACACTAATAAATTGGATGACAAGCTCCCGACTACTCTCTTGAGTGAATGTAGATGAATTGCCAAATTTTAGACAAATAAATTGGATGACAAGCTCCCGACTACTCTCTTGAGTGAATGTAGATGAATTGCCAAATTATACACTAATAAATTGGATGACAAGCTCCCGACTACTCTCTTGATTGAATGTAGATGAATTGCCAGATTATAGACCAATAAATTGGATGACAAGCTCCCTACTACTCTCTTGAGTGAATGTGGATGAATTGCCAGATTATAGACCAATAAATTGGATGACAAGCTCCCTACTACTCTCTTAAGTGAATGTGGATGAATTGCCAAATTAAACACCAATAAATTGGATGACAAGCTCCCTACTACTCTCTTGAGTGAATGTAGATGAATTGCCAGATTATAGACCAATAAATTGGATGACAAGCTCCCGACTACTCTCTTGAGTGAATATAGATAAATTGCCCAATTCACAATTTAGTTGTTTTATGAAAACTAGATGAATTGGGTCAAAATCAGTTGCATCTAGATGAATCGCCCAATTTACGATGTTTTTTCAGGCTTGGGTAGCTCATTTCTATTAGCCGTAAAAGTATATTATCTCAATCGATTGACCTAACTTCTTTTACTTACTTTAAATACTGACTCTAAGTATATGTACCTATTACAACCAGATTGTTTGAAATGTTTGTTATATCAATTAGAAATTTTACTGATGTCTTCAAGACCAACTTTTACAGTTCAAGATGTTAGAATCTTGAGGAACTTCAGTGAATACTATATGAAGTTAATAGCCATTCATCGTGAAGGTGAGGGTGGATGTGATTGTGTATTCGTTCGTTCATTTAAAATAAAACGAATACAAACTTACGTTGAACATTAATTTAAAGTATAGCTGGATAAAGTTCTCAATGGTCATGCTTTTTTGTCTGTATACCAATATTCATAGTAATAGTGTTAAGGAAATTAAAAGAGCTTAAAGCGTAGATTCTACAAAATAAATTTTGGGTTTCATTGTTTAAATTTCCGTATAAATGTTGAAAATTTTCCTTTTCATAAAACAATACAACAAGAAAGTAGGAAATGGTACCTTTTGTGTTGAACTAAAAGACCAACAATGAAAGGATAATACCACCTACTAAGATTGATCGTCCTTAAAAGCTATTTTGAATGTATACTTTATTCAAAGAGGATGAGTGTTTTTTCATGCGACAAAAAGAACAAGATCCCATGGAACAAGAACTTCACCCCATCCCATTCCATTTGGAGTCCAGTTATGTTTGATTCTTTTTTGCGACTTTATTGTCGGTATCACATTACATATGAAAAGATAACCTTTTTTAAATTGCATTTATGTAAACGATCGTGACTATGTTTCAAAGGTCTTTCTCTTCTTCTTTTTCGATAAATAACATGTAATAGATACCTATCATAAAGTGGGAATAAACCAAGAGGTATCGATTTGGGAAGTAAAAGAATAAAGAGAAAAAGAAGAGCTGTATATAAGAAGATGGTTCCATTTAGTCTTTCATTGTTTTTCAAAACAAAAACGGCATACTAGTACGCACTTGAAGGTAAGGAAACTATTTCATTGAAGTCAGTATTTAAAGTAAGTAAAAGAAGTTAGGTCAATCGATTGAGATAATATACTTTTACGGCTAATAGAAATGTGACTCAGCGATGAGTTTAGGGATGTACCGAGCCCCGAGCCCTGACCGAGCTCGGTAGGCTCGGGGCTTGGTCAGGGCTCGGGTGCCAGAATTGATGTAGGAGTGGGTGGGTGTAGGTGAGAGTGTGGGTGTGGGTGTGGTGAGTGGTATTATCCTTTTCCCTCTCACTCACTATTTTCACCCACATTTTTACCCACATTCTCACTCACACTCTCACCCACTCCTACATCAATTCTGACACCCGAGCCACGAGCCTACCGAGTCCTGACCGAGCCCGAGAGGCTCGGGCTCGGTACATCGCTAATGATGAGTTATCTAGTGATTGAATAAACGAATTTTTCTGATGAAGCACGTTATCTAAGCAGCCCAGGAGATTCAATCCGACCTGCAGATCCGGTCGTTTTCGATCGGATCCACGTCGGATTTCATCGAAATTCGACATCTTTCATAAAAAACCGATCGGATCCGATAGGGTTTTTGTCGGATTCTGACCCGGATTTCGTCGGAATTCGACGGGACACGATGAAATTCGGGTCGGATCTGGTCGGATTTTGAACCTGCTCCGTCGAATTCCGACGAATTCCGGATCGGAATCCGATCGATGGAAATCCGACAAAAACCCTATCGGATCCGATAGAATTATTCAGATCCGACAGGATCCGATCCCTCATGAATCTTCTGGGTAGCTTTATCGGTGTACTAAATTGTGATGTCATACATAAAATGGCAAAGTGCCCTTCTAATACTTAATTATCGGGGTAGAACTGTATAAAAGAACTAGAGCTCCGCGTGGGATAGGATGCGGCGAAAAAATTCGTCTAATAAGACGAG